CCCCCCCCCCCCCCCCGCCAAAAAATTTTCGGTCAGTGTACCATTTTAGGGGTCAAAAAAATTTTCCGCACATACCAAAATTTTTCGGAACATAACACAAATTTTCAAAAAAACACAAAATTTACAACAAAATTGACTGAATTTTCGACTAAATTGACATAATTTGTCCCAATTTTTTTTATTACAAACCAAAATTGCCCGACTGTTGATCGAATATCGCCCGACTGCCCACAAAACTGGGGGGGCGGCTACCGCCCCCCGCCCGGTACGCCTATGCATATTTTGCATGCACTGGAGAACATTTGGTGAAAATTTGATGAAAATCGGATTGATATTGAGCGCGCAGTATTGATTTTCCACAAAACGCCAAAAAGGGTGTCCTGTAATTGCCTAAATTCGTCCATAGGAAATACGCATCTCTAGTTAATATTGATGTCGGGACTCTACTGCAAATCGCTCACCAAAAAAACGCCAAAACCATGAAAAAAATATTCAAAAAAAAAATTTATTTCCGACCTACCGACCCTAATTTTTTCACAATATGAAACTGGAACCACAGGTATTTTTTTACGCCCAATGGTGGTAAAATCGTTGCATTGCCGTCGCGAGAAATAAATTGCTTGTGTATCATGCTCTGTGATGGCAACGCAAAACTGTGCGCAATCGTTGCCGAAATTTCAAATCATTTGATTTTCGGCAATGATTGCCGAAAATTGGGAGGTGTGGTCAAGGAAGGTCAAGGTTGATGAATGACACGTTTCTTGACCAGCCAATGAAAAGCGTTATGAAGACATATATTGCAGGTGAAATATTGCAGGTGTAGCCACCTTGTGCGACGGCAACGCAATGCTGTTATCACCCATTGTGTAACCATCGCAGCAAAAATATTGCTCGTGTATCCGAAGCTTAAGGTAGGTCATGCTTGATGTTTTTAAGGCTGGGTGGTTGGGTTGGTTAAGATATATGCATGCCAACTTAAATGCGGACGTGGCACCTTTATATTTTAAGAAGAGAATTTTTTGTACTGTATGTTACGTAACACACGTTCAAAACTAATGAATATACTTGTCCACTTGGTTATGACTGTATTCTTGTTTCTCAAGCGGCAAACAAACTTTAAAAGTATGTTTAGCGCTTTATCTGTAACATATAAATGCCGAAATGAAGAGATGTTAAATGGTACACCAAAGAGAAACTGAATTGCAGTAAATTTTGCTTATATTCCTGTATACGCAGAAACTTCGGACATCAGTTTCTCCTTGGCGTACCATTTAAAATCTAAATATTTGCAATTTATAATAAACAGCATCAATGACAATTTATTGTACAAGTTGTTTAAATGTTTAATTAATAAATAGCATTTCCGTTTAAACACTAACATATATAAAATCCAATAAACCGACCCACGAATTAAAATAACAATTATAACTAATTGACCAACAAACCTACCTTTATCAGGCACCCGAGAATGCTGAGAAAAGGTTTCATCGCAAATTTCATCCTGTCCTTCGCTTTCGAGTTTTGTCAAAGCACGCTTAGATTTTTCTGCGTTTTTCAAATCTTCTGGAGAATTCAAATCAGACCTTTCGCCCTCCATAACACTTGCTTCGAGAATACATTCATTGTTCGCCATAATACTGCTAAAACATCAAGGAAATTTGGGTTTATTTTTTTAAAGAATTTTCAATAATTCGACAATAAACAATATGGCCGATTTTCCCGCGCTTTTTAATTTCAGCCTCTTTAAATCACGTGCTCTGAAAGGGAATACTTCATGTAAGCTTGGTTTGACTTAGATTGTGTGGTTGAATTTGGGTTGCATCCAGCCTGATGCAACCCAGGCCTGGGGTTGCATCTTGCATGCTGGGAAGTTTTCGAGGTGGGGGCAGGAGTTTGACCAAGAGTCCCGTACTGTCATACTCAAAATGTGGGGGTCGCATGCAATTCGTTGACATAATGGCTGAATTAAATTGAACAATTTCAAACAAATAGTAAGAAAGCAAACAAATAGTAAGAAAGCAACTCACCCTTCTTCTAGAGAGCCTCGTTTTCGTGATTGAGACATCGGGCACATACACGAAAACGAGGCTCTGTAGCCAAAGTGACGTACTTTGCGGTGTATTGAAACTCTTACCAGTGACGCTGTATTGACAATGACAATAGTCTGTTTGGAGTTAAATAAAATAAACTATAGATAACATCAGTTTCTAAAGAACGAGTTATAAACACCAATCATTTTTGTTTCAGGAAACCATTCAGCAAAGTGTTCATATTTGGTAAGTCATTTACAATATGGTCATTTACCGTCAAGCATAAGCTCCAGAAATTGTAACCAAAATTTTTCCAACCTACCTCCCAACACGAAATCAGGGAAATTTTGGTCTTGGTGCAAAGAAATTTTTTTGGATAAGTCGGGGAAAATGGAAAAGTCGGTCAAATTTCTTTCTGCCCCCAAATTTCCCATACGCCTATGTCGTCAACATTTAACGAGTTTTTGCTGCACGCGCGTGGTAATATCCAGTAACTCTCATGCCCGTTTGATCAGCGCTTTAATTAGTAGTAACTTAAGTAGTAATTTTCCAGTAGTAACTCGTATCCAGGCTCTTTTTCGGCTACATTCCTACCTCGCTGGGTATGAGGTAATTCCAGTAGCTTTCCAAACGATTTATGCGTGCAAGGAAATAAAATTCATGATAAAATAAAAATAAATCGTTGTTATACTTACATAACGAAGCAATTTTAATTAAATCTACTTACTAGTATATTTATATATTTATATCTGGTTTTTAATACTATAATAATATATTATTCGACAGTCAGGTTTAACTACACACTGATCTTTCCAGACTCTTCAATTAATTAAGTTACTTTATTTATACACAGTATATTTGACCTTTTTCAGCTCAATTAAGGCAAAAAATACCTGGGTTTCCTAATTCTTCTTGCAAAAACTTAGGTAGGGTTTTCTTTTTTAGTATTTTTTTTTAGAACTGCTCATGCTGCATGAGAATTATGATATTCTATGTCAATTATGACAGCACAGATGACACAAGCATTCGTTAAATATCATATCAACTTTGGAACAAATACGTTATACTTTATATATAACTAATACAAAATCAATGCCACGTATTGGGTACGGAAAATTGCTCCGAGCTCTCTGCAAGCCCTAGTTGAAAAGATTAGGATCGGTGATTTCAGTGGTCAAAACCTAAACACGCGTAAAAATCTCACATCTTGTAGCAAGTCTGCCAACAAGCCGTCAACAAGTTATGTTCGCAGTGCTTGTCCCAAGTTGTCGACAAGTCCAAGCTTGGAGCAAGCTGTTAACAACTTGTAACAACCTTGTTTATACTATCAGACTTGTTGCAAGGTTGTTCCAACAATTCCGATACATTCATGATATAACAATAGACAGATTTAGATCGAGGACGCGGACGTCAAAGACGGCCTGAAAATGGCGTCTTGTGCCCATGTATGGATATGCCACGCCATTTTCACGTCGTCTTTGACGTCCTTGATCTAAATCTGTCTAATATTGCGTTATGGCGTCAACCTTGTAACATTCTTGTTATATCATGTCTGTATCAGACTTGTTAGAACCTTGTAACAAGTCTGATAATGCCACTAAACTTTTCACAAGTTGTTAACAGCTTGTTCCAGGCGTGTTACAACAACTAGGAACAAGCAGTGCGAACACAACTTGTTGACAGCTTGTGAACAGATTTGTAACAACTTGTTTACAGACCTGTAACAACTTGTGCGTATTTACGTGTGTAGGTAAGGTAGGGAAACGGGAAATCCAGGTATTGTTTTGCTTTATTTTTCTTGATGTCACGTGTGTTGAGACGAAAGGTTAGCTCGATGATCCATTAACGTCAACATGTGGTCTTGTAATTTCTGTGAAGAAAAATAACGAAATACTTTATCAAAAGCCTGGCCGTGGATAAACCAATTCACAGAATTTCCTTCATCACACATATTGGAGAGGTTCAGATTTGACTTTCAGAAAGTGATTTTCAGAAAGGTCCTACTTATACAGAAACAATTATGTATAAAAGCATGCAATAAACATAGCAAATACGTTTGGAGAATACAGTTCTCTTAAAAAATCCTAAAAGTCTTGTGTGTGTTGGTCGGTTATGTACTCAGGTGAATATGATGTTACTTTGTGATGTTACTCTGAGTGTGCATCCACACCGGGTAAGCTGAAAAATTTGCCTGAACACGGTGGGAATCGAACCCGCGACCTCTGGGATAGAATGTTTAGAATTGGGTTTTTTAAGGTTCATAATTGGTTCTTTTCAAATAAGTCTAAGTTAAACGTTTGGAGAATAATGTCATTTAAGAGTCGTTATTTATAAGCTAATGCTATATATAACATGGTGCGAATTCATATATTTTTAATAACTTGAATTGAATTGAATGTGTGAACATCCCGTGTTTCACTGTGCAGGTTATCCCAGTCTTTGATAGGTAATTTGTGCGTTGTTTTCCAAAGTTGCATGCGTTTAACCTTAGGTATAGCCTTAAGCCTGTTTTCCACTTCAACTGTTGTAACGTACCGTAGTGTTTTGTGTCGAAGTCATTAGAGACCTTACGATTCTAGGACGGCAATGCGACGACGACGGCCAAAACAAACTCCTTCAAATAAATGGTAGTAAAGATAGCCTAATTCGTCGTATATTATCAATCGTATATGAATTGAATACAGTCTTAGAAGTTGAAGACATGGATCTTATGTTTGGGAAGAGTTCTGCTGAACCCAGTTTGAAATTGCACTTTTTGCGGCTTGAAATGTAGCCGTTGTATCAAGATGTGAAAATCTGTGATTTGGCGTTGTAAACAGAGCGAAGACAATGTCTAAATTATTCATATATTGTAATTATTCAATTCTTTTCAATGATTTATTGTACTGGTAGCCGTTGCCGTCAAAAATCGTAAGGTCTCTATAGACCTTTCTCTTTATGAGTGAAATTTTGATCTAAATATGCCTGGACAAAAATTTCATTACAACTTGAAAGAGCATCACAAAATTAGTAATATTGCGAAGTTTCGTTGCGAAATGTTGTAAAATGCGGATAATATAGCCTTGCGAAGTTTGCCGTTTTCCAGTCATTTTACGTTACAAATGGGAAATTGATAATCAGATGATCAAACTGATTATCAATTTCCCGTTTGTAATGCAAAATGACTGAAAAACGGCAAACTTCGCAAGGTTATATTATCCGCATTTTACAACATTTCGCAACGAAACTTCGGAATATTACTAATTTTGTGATGCTCTTTCAAACAAACTGTGATGAAATTTTTGTCCAGACTTGTCTAGATCAAAATTTCACGCAAAAGGGGAAAGGTCTATTAGTTCCACACTACCGCTCAGGAAACAAAGAAATACGCTACGTTTCGGTACGATACGATTGAAGTGGAAAACTGGCTTTAGTGTGTCCTTATTTCAGGTGTTATGAATCTGACTACTATGCTGACAATGTCCAAAGAATGTTCCACGAGATCGTTAACACACTTGTAAATATAAATGCAGCAATGGTAAGTCCTGCGACGTTCTAAATTGAACCACCTCAGGGCTGACAACACAGCAGTTGCCGAGGAAAAAGGAAAATATTCTTGGCAGCCTTGTTCTGCAGAATTTGAAGTTCACCAATCAGATGCGTTTAATCTACCCGATTAACCAATCAAATGCGTATTAAGCCAGCGAGATGTAGCGCGGTAACGGTATAGTAAAAGTCAAATACGTGGAAGTCGATAACATATTGTTTTACAAGCATTGGACTTACCGCTAACGTTTCGTCTAGATGAGATTCAACGCCAGGCGTCCTCTGTCTCATGGAATCTGAAACCTTAAGAAATAAAGAGCGCTTAAAGCCCAGTAGTGGTCAAAGCGCAGCACCGCGGAATCGTAGGAACCACAGGTTCGATACCTGCCATAGGGCCTACGGTTGCATTTTTCGCAGCTGCCCCTGGTTAGGTCTAAAGGACAATACAGACCGAAAAAATCCTCCA